AATGGAGAAGGAAAACTATTGTTGACACATAGACAAAAAAAGGAACAGATAACCCTTAGGTGAAATTCATTCCATGATTTATCATTTTTCCCTTGGGATGGATGTGTTTTACAGTGACTGGGTCTTTACTGCCCCCTCCTGGATTATGGCATGGCAGCACTGGGCAGTCCCAGCAGAGCCCAAAGAGTAGTGGAATATGTGAAAGACTAATTGCTGCAACTCCAGAGCTCAGTTCTTTGATAACTTTCCCTAAATAATTATTGTCTGTTCAAGCAGAACTGGCTCCTCCTTCATCCCTCTACCCTAGGAAAAGTGCTTATTTCTCATTGGCCTATTTCCTCCCAAGACCCAACAGAACAAGTGGAACCTGACCACCTTCCTTAAGCAAGTATAATTAAAAATAAATTCTTCAGGCTGTAGACGTGCAAAAATAAATTCTTCACACATTTACTAATATAAAATAAGTTTTTATCCACAAATATTTGTAATATAATCATATTACATATATGTAAATAAATATTCATATGCAACATATATGAATAGTATTATTTGAACCTGGCACTTGCCCTTAGGGGTAGGTTTTCAGGGATAGGAAAAAAATGCACAGAGCAAAATCTCCAAAACATAAGCAAAAATCTACTTTGCTTTTTTCAAAGATCTTTCCTATCTTTTATTGATAGAAGAAGGAATTCAAATAACCAAAAAAAAAATACATAAAAAGAAAAAAATATTTTTAACCTCAATAGTATTCAAGAAAATGTAAAAAGCAAGATCATGAATTTTCACCCAACAGGCCAAAATGAAAATTATAAATAAGAGTTAATGTAAGAAAAGAGATTTTCTTAGATACTATTGGCGAGAATATAAATTGGTACAGCCTTTTAAGGGGGAAATTTGGCAGAATCAATCAAAATCTAAAATGAATCATACCTTCTGCAGCTTTAAAAAGTCCATCTCTGGTGAGCCCTGTGATGATTTCTCCAGCGTCCATTCTGTGCCCCTATTGCTCTACAAAAGTCATGTGGTTCCATGGATAGGCTGCCAGCCAATCAGCATAATCCCTTTTCCTTTCACTCCCCTTAATTCAGGCAAGGGTACTTAACAAGAGCCCCTCAGTGCACACCATCCTCACTGAACCCCCACCCCAACCCATACAGAGATTTGCTTCAGGCTCCAATCTATGAGTGAAGTTTTGTTTGATGGGTGAGCAAACTCTTCATTCTCCTTTAGAATCAGTGAGGAAGCATGGAGCTCCAGTAATCTAAGCTCCTAATGTTTATATTATCTAAATAAATGTTTCGTTTTTAAAATTAATTCCAGATCCAAGTAATCATGACTATATATTTATGCCAACAAACTCTCATAGCTGTTTTATTTGTCAAATGACACTAAATTCTTTAAACCTTCAAAGTCAATTATCTTGCCTATAAAATCTGAACAATATTCCTACTTTCATAGGTATTAGTACTATTATCACATAGAAATCACTGTACTAGATTATGTGGAATAGAAATAGGTAAATAATTTGTTGTTCCTAATCTTTAGAAACATTGAAAACTTAGTGAGGGAGAGACATTAGGTATTGCTCTTGCTACCACCCTAGTCTAAGGACAAGAAAACATGCTGAATTGAGATGTCACTTTAATTTCCCTGATTCTTTCTTATATTAATTCATGTTACCTGACAAAACATTTTCCAAAATTTTACTGTTGACACCTTCCTTCCTTGCTCCTACAGGAAATGATCCTGCAGGCTAAAGTAAAGAATGAAATAAGTGAATAAGGTTATATAGTGGGAAAATTAATTTTCACYGAAAACAAAATAAAATGATATTTTCTTGATAGTTTTGTTTTTGTTTTTGTTTCCAGGAATTGAACCCAGGGGCACTTAAAGCCATATCCCCGGCTCTTTGTATTTTTTGAGACAGAGTCTCGCTAAGTTGCTTAAGGCATTGTTAAATTGCTAAGGCTGGTTTTGAACTTTCAATCCTCCTGTTGCATCCTCCTGAGCAGAGTTTTTATTTTAAAGAAAATTTCTCTGCCAGTGCAGTGGTGCACACCTGTAATCCCAGTGACTCAGGAGGCTGAGGCAGGAGGATTGCAAGTTCAAAGCCAGTAAAATAAAAAAATGAAAAGGGCTTGGGATGTGGCTCAGTGGTTAAGCACTCCTGGGTTCAATCCCTGGTACAAAAAAAAAGAGGGAAAAGAAAATTTCTCAGTGTATAATATATTCACTGTCGGCCATCCACAAATATCAATAAACAAAAAGCTCTAAATCACAAGTTATACACATGTGATGAGGTCAATATTTGTGGCAAAGTACCTCTCAGAAGTGCATGTTAAGAAGCAGATAAACTGTTAATTGCATTTTCAAGTTATTTCATGTTTTTATGCCATCAAGAGAAAAAAAATAGGTCCCTTTAGAAAGCAATATAATAAGATAAGTTTTATAAAAATAGGAGAGTGTTAAGGGCTCCTTCCTAATGTAAACATACTTAACACAAAACAATAAAGAAAAATTCTTTTAGTCCAGTTCACCAAGACTAGCCTACAAGGTTAGAAGCGGTCCTTTGGTGGTTCTCTAATTCCCTGCCAGTGGTTTGCTTATACACAGGGTGATTAAAAAACAAGTCAACCACATTTTTCAGTCTAGTCTGACTCACAGCTGAGTATACACATAGCCTTATATTATAGCACAACTAAGATAAGTGAACCAAAAAATAAGAAAAAAAAAACATCTTCCATAYCCCCATTTATTTTTATTTTTTTATGGATACATAAAAGGTGCTTTATTCACATGCTTAGTAGGTAAGAATGAACTAAATTTATCCTATGTATCAGCATAAACAGATCTCAATAATAATGTAGAATTTAAAAGCAAGTTCCAAAATAATACATGTAGTATGATATCACTTATATAATACTTTTTTTTAAAGTTAAAATTCTTAATGAGAAAGAAGGATTTGTTTCTGTCAAGGTGGTCAAAACTGTTGGCAAGGATGGATTTTTATTCTTTATATTTATTTCTGGGCTCATTACCATATCCCCATTTAAACAGGAAGTCAGGCATCCCAAACAATCAGGGAATTTTTGATCAGAAGAACTGGGTTCTTAACCTGGGTCTGTCATAACTTTTGCCAGGTAGTCTTTATTTATTATTTTATCACTGTGCTATTTATATCACCAGCTATACAGTTAATTAACTGGTTGCCCCTATATTCAAATTTTCAACAACAAAAAAACAAATTAACATTATTTCAAACTTATTTATTAAATACCATACAGTGGGGTCTGGGTGTGTGTGTGTGTGTGTGTGTGTGTGTGTGTGTGTGTGTAATTTTTAGTATCTTAATTAAATAAATATAAATTAAAACTACTTATGGAGCTTAGATAATATTTATTTATTTTAAAACATACAYATACACAGCAAACCCATTGTCCCCCACTAGTACATATCCATAGTTCATATTAGTGTGTGACTAAATCATATCCTTGTAAAGGGAGAGTAAATAACCACAAACTGAAAACAAAGATTATTTTGGTTTAGTATCTACAACCCTAGTTTGAAAAATCTTTTTTAATAGTTCTGCCAAGGTTCTAATCATATATGATCCTCAAGTTTCAACAAAGACTTGAGTATAAATGATTCTCAGTTTTTTCAAAGATATTTAAATAGGCAAAAGATACCTAAGGAGAGTACAGAATTAGAAGGTAAATGACTTAGACCCTCAGAAATTGAGCTAATATTTTCACACTTCTCTTTACATAAACATAGCATTGAAATAAGCTGTTGTTGAGGATTGACTTTAAGTATTGTCTTCTTTCTAGATTGTAGAGTCTGTTGGCAATATTTTTCAAAGTAAAAATAAAATAATATATTAATATGAAGATCATTAATGCTGATATTCTAATTTTTTTCAGCATTTTAGCCATACTAATCTAGTCAAATACCAGGTAAAAGGTTAAAAATAAAGCTCTTAAATCAAAACCAAATATCAATTTAATCATCACCTATAGACTTATATGTTGGAATAATTTATTTTGCTTCCTCTTGAATGTCCTAGTCTTTTGAGGCCCAAGTATCTAAGGCCAGAAGTTCAATGTTAAGTTCCTTGGAGTAATAAAGAAAAATTTAGTTAAATTCTTGGATTAATTCTAGTCAAAGGCTTTTAGGGAAAAACAACACACTTTTAATTGGCTAAGGCAAAAATTCTACTCAAATCCTGGTCTCCTTAACAACTGTTCTTAAAAAATGATAAATGCAGAGCATGACTGGAATCCTAGAAACAAGAATCTGGAGCTCAATTGGTCTAACCCTCCCACCTAAAATGTTGCAAACCTGTGCAAAATGTGTGGAATGTGGGTAAATGATGATGTACCTTGGAGAAAAACTTTGGGAAGGCCTAAGTATTTRAGGCACAGAAACTTCTCTGGGTTCTAATATCACCCTCAAAATATCAGTGGACAAGAGTGGAGTCCGTAATAACAGACATTCCCTCCCTACAGTCTCTTCAGTAATGATTCAATAGCAATTGGCCTAGACAAAAGTGATCAGCCTGATTAATAGGTAACCCTGCTTCCCATCACCTATTTTGTATGTGTAACTCTTTCTAGTGAGAAGTGCAGTATTCAACTTTAAGGTTCACTACTCTATTCTCCTTTTCCTCTTGTTCCAATCATGTTCCTTCACACAGGAACATTAGCACCAAAATTTTACAACACAGAGGACTACCAATGCCACAGCTGTACTGAGTCATTAGAAATAAAAAGTTTCTCTGTTATATTTATATTAACGTAGTTCTTAAATCAGCAGAAAGGCCAGATTCCCACAATACACTGAATATTAACAACAATCACAGAAACCAATGATATATATCACTCCTGGACAGCAGTTACATATCACCTTAATGCCTAGAAACAAGATTTTCAAGTGTTTTTATAGGTAAAGTAAACAAAACATTTTCTTTTACTGATCCTAGAATTGTTTTCATTTTCTTCAACTGTAAACATTTATACAGATCACACAAGGTTAAATGCATGAATAACATGACCTTTTATAATGTGTCTCTCGCCTTCATTTTTAATCACTTTTAATCTTAGTAATTTAAATACACAATCTACTAATAGAAAATTCACATTCATGTAACAAGAACCATATTACTATTCTTTCATTGTCTATATCTTGAAATAGCAAGCATCAACAGACTGAAAAAGTAACAGGATAACAGTCGGGAAGGTGAACTTGTTCAATCTTCCTTTGAAACATTTGAAGGATGTCTTTGTCTTTCCTTCCTCTGCAAAGCAACTTTCTTAGAAAATGCAGGAAGTTCAGARGGAAACAATGAATACCATGAATCTCTCCTCTTAGGATATTAGCATTCTAGTTGCAAGGAGATGTCATCTCAAGTGCTATAGCAGCATCTAAAAGCACAGAATATTCCACCAAATATTTTATATTAAATATTTCTAGAAATTAATTTGTCTCACTCACTTTCTCAAAATGTAYACATTGATAACATTGGTGGGTACTATGTAAACTAAGAAAACCTAGATTATATGTATTAAAAAGAAGATTTTAAAAACATTCTTTAGAATAACTATCAATCTAAACTATCTTGTATAGCACATTATCTTCTTTTATGCAAACAATGACTGATTTTGACAAAAGAGATGTWAGGTTTGTAGAGCCTGAAGTTTATACAGTTTACATGAATTAGTTGTTCACAGTTCACATGAACCAGCTCAAATAAATGCATTGCTGTTGTAGGGACAGACGAGGCAAGGCACCAAAGTTAGCAGGAAACAGTTTTATTTGGCTGCAGCCAGGTTCAGAGGGGACAGCTTTTACTATAAGCAATCAATCCCCTGAACCCCGAGTTCAAGTAGTTTCAGAGTTTTATAACCAGCAAATAAGGGGAGGAACTCAGAAGTTCAGGCTGCAGAAGTTCACATAAAAGCAGCTTTCTCTTTCACTGTTCTGGGCAAGTTAACCCTTCAAGGACAAAACCTGAGAAGGGGAGAACTTCTTCTCCCCTCTCTTTCCTCCCTTTGCCAGCTTTTACCATGGAGCCCAATTGGTAACTTCTCTTATATTAGAAATGTAGACATCTCTGTGAAGCTCCAGCTCAAGACCAGAGGCCTTGTTTACACATTTCTGCAAACTACTATACTGGATACATTTGTGAAAAACTAGTAAGGGGGTGTCTAGCATCTGGAATGCTGATTTCTTCCAGGCTAGCAGCCAAGAAAAATAGGGCAACATGAAAATAGGAAATTTATCTACATTGAACTCTTTTGTAGAGACTCATTTGCTGACAGTCTTAAAATCAGCCATAGTGAAGATTTCTGCAGAAGCCTAGTTAAATTTTTTTTTTGTGGAGAATGGGGGTGCCACTACATTGTAAAGCCCTTTCCCTGGGTCTAGGAAGGGCTTGTGCAAATGAAGAATTAAAATTTAAGCTTTTTTCACTTCACAGGAAAGTGATCTTTGATATCACAGATATTCAAAATGCTTTGTGGAGATTAACAGATGAATTCCAATAATAAAATTTAAGGGAACCTGGAATTTTATTACAATATCATATTTTACAGAGTTAATGAGATATTAAACATTGAATGACTTGCTTAAAGTCATCTAGCAAATTATCATTCCAACAGGTTTAAATTTTTTTTAGTACAAAAACACTTAAAAGTAATCATTTGGTATACTGCTGATCCCTCTTTATTGGGAAAGAGAATACCAAGTCATTGTTTAATTTATCTTGCTTGACAAGCCCACAGAACAAAATACTGGGAAAAGTAAGATAAGTATATAACCTTCTTCAGTACTTGTCACCCTGAATTCACATTATTATAGCTAATAAAATTCAGATTAGTTCAAGATCAAGAGATATAAGATCTATTTAAAAAATTTTACTTTATAGACAAATGCTTTTGATTTTCTAAGTGGCACAACTTCCCTGGCAGGAGTTCTTATAAAATCAATAACCAGAGAATGTTTTGGCTGAAAATTTTCTTCAGAAAACCACAAAATATTTCTCATTAAAGGTGACACAGGGACTGGCTCAGTGGCAGAGCGCTTTCCTAGCACGTGTGAAGTACTAGGTTCGATCCCCAGCACCACAGGTATTTTTTTTTTTTTAAAGTGACACAGCTTTAAGTATGAGAAATCAGACTTACCCCCTTCTGAACTAAAATAATTCTCAATGCTGGTGTTCCATCCGAGGCAAGTCGGCCTCTGAATCATCTGACAGGGGAGATCCTGATACCTATAAAATAATCAATCTTTATAGTTTCTCAGTAATTGTAAATGTCTCACTCCTCCAAAATTCCAATTCTGGCTGTTTAAATATCAGATGCTTAGAATTAACTATTCATAGCTCAAGTTGCTTGCATGGGAAAGAATGAAGTCAGAGGACATTTTGGCCTTTAGTTTATACATACATTAAAAGATACTTCTAATCTGTCATTGTGTGCTATTTTTTACAAAACTTATTATAAAACAAAAATAAAAACCATTTGAAATCATCATATTAAGACTTCAAAGCAACCATTATAACTGTGTTATATGAAGTAAAGGAAAATATACTTGAAATGAATGAAGGGTCAGGAATTCTTAGCACAGAAATAAAAGCTATTAAAAATAATCAAGTGGTTATTTTAGGATTAAAATATATACTATCTGAAATTTTTAAAATCTAACTGAATGGACTTAATAGTGGGACAGAGATAATGAAGTAAAATGTCACAGAACACGAACAGAGGTAAAAGAAACTGTACAATTTGTAGAAAGAAAAAAGATTAGGGAAAAGTTAACAGAGTCTCAGGAACCTGTGAGAAAACATCAAAAGGTCTAACCTATGTTTTGTCATTAGACTCTCAGAAGGAAAGGAGCAGAAACATACATATTCTCAGGAACTAAAAGAAATTCTAGAAGTRGAAGATTATATGGAATAGAAAACGTTTAAATTAGGTAAAAGGATGGTCTTAGGAAAAAAAAAATGTCAAGTAGACAATTCATTTTGAGAGATTAAGAAATGATTCCAGAGTTCTACTCTTTCAAAATGAGGTTTTAACTTTAGGGTTAATGCAGTAAAATACTACAAACTCCCACAAAGCCTATTGTTATACAAAGAACATACCTAGGCTATACACACACACACACACACACACACACATACACACACACACTCACTCACAGACACACATTTTTAACCTAAAAAAAATGATTACTACCAGTTTGGAAGTTTATATATAAATATTTATGCAATAAGATACTAACTGCAATGACACATAAAATGAGCTTTAGCAAGCAAAATCTTATAGATCAACAGAAAACATGCCCAATTCTTAAGACCAAATTTTCCTTAAAATATAGTAAATATGTAAGAGACCCAAGTTTCTAATTTACAAAGAATATTTCAATACCTGATGTAAAGCAACACTGGGAGTATGCAGGTCAATAGCAGCCAGAGAAGGAATCCGAGATTCTGAAAGAATTTTGTTCTCTTTCTTTATTAGTCTAGAATTTCGAGCTAGATAAAAACAACCATAAACACAATGAAAAAATATACATTTTTTTAGTTTTTCATATTCTACATCTGTCCCTCCATATGTATTTATTACACATAAATGAGTATATGTGTTTAATTACTTAAAATATGTAAGGTTACCATAAATTATTTCTAATATTCTGTTAGTTTATTTACTACACATTTTACAATGTACACAAAAGGGCTGAAAAAATTAAAAGCATCATAAACATACCTATTCCTTCCAAGGCTCTTAGTTCAGGGAGATGATTATAGTTCAGTTCAGGCAAACGGACGTCTGTCTTAGAATATTCCCTTCTTTTCTTATTTGCCTGAAGGAGGCTTTTTTCACTAGAGACCTAATTTGGTCAGAATTATTAACAGAAATAAATTAGCTTCAGGGTAAACTAGACTTTCTTTCTTTTGTAACGACTAGATTTGTATCCTAATGTTTATAGATTTAAAGAGCCAGAATAAAAAACTTTAAGGATATTAATAACATAGGAAACCATTTCACTCAATTATTCTAAACCTCCTCTTTACCAAATTTATTAAAATTGTTAACAAGTGGATAACCTGATTGTTCTACATTTCTCCTTTTCCCCGTGCCAACCTTCGGTATAAGTCCTGCCAAGAGTAAAAGGATAGAAGATGAAAATCAATACTTTGGTCTTTCAGGCTACTGAGGTCAGACCTAATAACACTTGGGCTTTTCAACAAATAGTTGCCATTACATGTATTATAACAGAGCTCCCTTGAAATTAAAAGCTCTAAATTCTTTTCATTTCCTGATTTTAAAAAAGTTTTTTTCCATCTTAACTTCCTCATGATAAAAATGGAAACTGAAAAACTAGTCCCTAGATTAAGTGGCTGCCAAGGACACTGGAATTTTGACATAATTCTCTAGCAAGCACAGCATAGCTAAATCCACATAGGTGTATTTCCTGCCTTTTATCTTACTATACCCACTTTTTCTCTCATAAAAGTTGTTTGCATCCCTGAGCACTCTCAAGTTGGAGATTGAGACAGAAAAGTCTCCTCTAACTTCCTCAGGAATGGCTTTGAATAAATCTGTTTTCTTCCACCAATTTGTGATTCCTGAATTTTGGTTGAGTGGTGAGCAGAACCTTCAATTCCAGTAGCATAATCATATCTCCTCCAAGATTGATTCATTCTTTCTCAATATAATCTTGTTACTTATTTTCTGTATTTGGTCTTGTCTTGCTCCTTAGGGTTAGCATGATACTATCTTCCCAGGAAATATAGTTTATTTAGTAAAAAACTGTAACCTCAGTTATTTTCCTTGTCTTTTTTATTTTTATTACTTCATAGTTGATAAAGTCAGAAAACATCCAAATTGAGGAATATTAGTGTCACTTCAATTCTTCAATTTTAGAAATTTGATATTTTTATAAACTTTTTCATTTAAGAATTGCAGAAACTACATTCTTTTCAACATCTTCAAAATAAATGGCACACAGAAATTATGTGACTTGACAAAAAACATATATGACAAAATCACATATATGTGTGTATTTATATATACATATATATGATGAAATACACACACAACAAACATACACATAATGACATTAAGCCATGAAGATTCCTTGAGTACAAAAAATAAAATCAAAAAGTGAGTTCAAACTACCAGATTTACACATTCAAAGCGTGACAAAAAAAAAAAACACATAATAATAAATGTTTGTATATTTATTCACATCCCAGTATTAGGGCATAAAGAGTGGGGAAAGTACAGATCTTTAATGCAGAAGCTGAAGAAAGTCTAGATTTAGTTCTGTCTGCATTAATTTTCATTAAGGAAAGACTCCAGTGGGCCTTTTCTCCACCATTGTTTTTTCACGTCAGATGGGTAATGTGCTGATGTCATAACAAGGTTTAGAGGGAGGCACATCTCACACAAGAGCAGGACCCCCCAGTCATCACGCTTACGAACCGAAGGATCTTTTCTCCACCAATCTTTACCCCCTTTCTCGATTATCTTTTCCAAAGAAGAATAAATAAAAATAGGATATAAAATTATTAGCCAGCATTGAATATGCAATGCCTGAAAGCAGTTGATATCAATTCTTAAAAAACATTATTGAGCTAGCTACTTTTAAAAAGGCTTGCTGATTGAAATAATCTTCCAGAACAGACCAGGATTAAAAAATAAAAGAAATCAGTAGGGTATTATCAAAAAATAAAATGTCATGAGCACAGAAGTAATAAACTAAGAATAATTAAAAGAAAAACAGCAATGTCCAAATCATAAGAGAGATGAAAAGACTATATTTTTCATCTCTGAGGATAATGAGTAGAGAAATTAGTGGAAAAAATACTGTTTGGGAAATATATCCATACCTCTCTTTCTATGTAAAAAGAATTTACTTATTCTCCACATTTCTTAAGTCCCACCCCTCTCTTTTTCTGGGGTTCTAATCCAAGGCCTTATGCATGCTAAGCACAAACTCTACTACTGAGCTGTACTCCTAGCCCCTCTTAAGCAGCCTTACTGGGCTAAACATTATTCTCAGTAATGGAGTATAGAAGTGAAGAAAACATCACAAATTATTGACATGGGCTGGGGATGTGGCTCAAGTGGTAGCGCGCTCGCCTGGCATGCGTGCGGCCCAGGTTCAACCCTCAGCACCACATACAAACAAAGATGTTGTGTCCGCCGAAAACTAAGAAATAAATATTAAAAAATTCTCTCTCTCTATCTCTTTAAAAAAAAATTACTGACATGGAAGCTTACACATTGTATTTTTGAGGAGACAGACTATACATAAAAATGAGCATATAGAGGATGCAGATATAGGTAATGAAAAAAAAAACTAAGGAAGGAGAAGAGATAGAGGGTAATGAGAAAAAATGAGTCACAATATTAAAGAAGAACTCACAATAAGGTTTTATGTGTACTAAAGAGGAGAAAAAGTACACATAGTGGGTTATCTGGAGGAACAGAGCTCTAAATGTAAGTGTAAAAGCCCAGAAGAACGCATGGCCATATTTCAGGAATAACAAGGAAATCAGCATGGTCAGAACAGATTGATAAAAAGAAAGGAAACAGAGGTAGGATTAAAAGGGCAGGGGGCTTTCATCATGCAGGAACTTGATGGCCCCTTAAGGACTTTGGCATTTACTCAGAAAAGAGAAGTCAATGAAGGATTTTGAACAGAAGAATGATGATGATTTGACATAGTTTATAAAAGCAGCATTCTGGAGGTTATGTTGAGAATAATAATGCTCCTTCCTGTGCTATCTCTGAACCTTAGTCATGCTTTGAATACTAAAATCTGATAGCATGTTTTTAGTTTGCTGATTTTCTAGACCAAAAGTTCCATGGAGAGAGACTGACTTAATTCCAGTGTCTTATATAAAATAGATGATCAAGAAATATTTGTTAAATGAATAAAAAAATATTTTCACCAGAAATGTGGTGCGGGTAAGATAATGAGATAATTTCTCTTTTCATTTATTCTTAAAAAAAAAGAACTAACTGATTGGCAAGCATTAAGAAAATTTACTATGCTTCCATAAACAAGCAAATGGCATTATTACAACATCTTTCAGACTTATTTAAATTTTAGAATTCTACATCATGACTATGACAGGACGATTTTTGCATAATTAATGTTTCACTTTATGACTCTAAATACAATTCTCAGTTCTTAACTGTCATACTGAATATTATACAAGTCTAGAACTGACTAGTGCTTGCTCTTCTTTGACTGGGAACAGTTTACTTACTGATGTCACATTAATATTATAAATTCCTGATGGAGAATGTTTATTTGGTTTAACAAATGGAATACAATACTTCTTAGTTTTCTCATCCACTCTGCAAAAAAAATTAAAATCAATAATTATTATTTCCAAGCAAAAAACCAAATGACACAGCACCAAGTGTTACGCAGTTTAATCAGAATTTGATGCCTATCTTCAAATATATATTACATATAAATCTAGTGAAGCATTCTATAATTTATCACTTGACTCATGCCTTCCTCACAGCCTCAACTCCTACCTTTTAGCAAAATTTACTTTTCTTTTAGCAAAATTCCCAAAAGGTGCTTCCTTTTACCACCAAGTGCCAATAGACAAACTATGCAGCAGCAGACCACCAAAACAAATCTCTTATTACAATAACATTCTTTCATATTATAGTCTAAATAGTTGTAAATTCTCTTCACCTTAAATCATACAATTCTACTTCCTTAGGACTCAGGTGAATTTTGGGTACAAATCCTAATAATTTTCATCATACAAGTCAAAAAGTTTTGCAACAACAACCTAACAAGTATAAATAGCATCTATAATTCTACGAGTAAAACAGTGTGAATGAATCAATAAACATTATCATTTGCAAATAGATCTCTTAGCAATTTTTTTAGTCTTACTTTCCTAATTCATACCTGTAACTCTGTACACCTGAGATAGTTCCCATTCCAGAATTAACACCAGGAGCAACTGCTGAAAGATTGTGTGTAAGTGGGGGSATTGCTGTGCTTGAATTCCTTGTGTGGTTCACGCTGACATTGCTGCAGTCTCTGAGACTTGTGGAAGGCACTGTTTTGATGTGGCTTATCCTATTTTCATGGAGATACCTGGCATTTGAACCTCTATTGCCTTTTTCAACTTTCTCTCCATTGATTTTTGATCCTTTTATTTTAAATACCTTAGAATYCTTAACTTTGGGATCAGCATTGATATCCTAAGCATGAATAAAAATTTTAAGGTTAATGATCTGAAAAGAAAGAAAATTACCTCTTCTTATGTAGTACTTACTTGTTGCCTCAAGCAGAATTTTACAGGTATCACCTTTTTGTGACCATTATCTTTAATCTACCTATATAATTAAAAATGAAACCCACATTCTTATTCACATATTTATTGTGAAAATACAAAAAGAACCAAAATGTAACACTAATTGATAATATATTTGGATATGTGTGCATAAGGTATCTGTATATGGTGTATATGAATTTCAGTGGGGGAAAAAAAGTGAAAGAGGAATTAAGAAAGCTACTTTTCTCACCTCTATGCTCCCTGACTCTGAGGGTAGTGAATTCAAATTACCTTATTAAGAACAGATCCTGAGTACCTTAGCCAGAAAAGCAAATTTAAATATTCAAATTTCAATTTTATAATGCTCCAATTTATATAAAATTCTAAAACAATATTTTTTTCTCACATCATTTAAGGAGAAAGAGTGGTGTGTGTGTTTGCTCCCTATATGTATGTATGTTTGCTCTCCCTGTGTGGGTGGACACATACAAGCATGTGTCTAGGTGTTTTCAGATGAGCGTATGGAACTGAATTTCTCGGAAGAAGCCACATCTATATTAAAGATCCTGCAGACTATTTGAATTTGGATGACTACAACATTATGATTATGGAGAGATGGAATGTAGGTCATGAGCCAAAATTATCTTGAGCTGTCTTTTGAGCCATTTACTTTCAACCTCTGTATCTGACCTAACATCCTCATGACTCTTAGGTAAAACTCTTGGAATGTATTACTAGGCTTAGCAGACCTCTAGCCTCCAAGAACCCCAGAGTTAAAAATGCTATAATATCTGAAACCTATAAAAGAGATTTCTCCTTCTGCTGTAGCTCATCTACCTAGACTCCACCAACATAATTTTATGTTAACAACTTTAATTTCCTGACAAGCATTATTATAGTTTCCTGGTATACACTGGCATTAAAAACATACTAAGTTTGTTTTAAACTGGCAATATCTGTAGGGAAGATACATTTTTAACAAATAGGCTAACAGTTAAGAGCTTGTTCACCACTCATAAAACTTCTAAAAGCTTCATTTCCTCCCACAAAATTAAATTTAAAACATAGACATTTACCTGTACCACCAGCATTTTTCTTTCTTCACCTAAGGAATCATCTTTTTCCTTTTCCTTCTTTCTGTTTTGGGATTTTTTAGATAAAGAAATATTCCTGGCATCTTTCTGTATTTTTAATTGTAGTTCCTGAGAAAACCTACACAGAAAAATACATTCTTCAATAAAATGAAATTGCATGAAACAGAAAAACCTAGAAAAACAATTGATTTTCAAAATAATTTTCAATCAAAGGTGAGACTAGAATATTTTATTTAAAATAAGAAAAATGATGGCCTAGATCAACAGTTAAGAAAGGGTAGTCTATAGATCTGTAGGGATCCCTTGAGTATCATTCAGGAGGTTCATAAAGTCCAAGATATTCTGTTTTGTTTTATTTATTTATTTATTTATTTAGATACTGGGATTGAACCCAGGGGGCACTCAGCCACTGAGCCACATTCCCAGCCTTTTTATTCTTTATTTTGAGACCCTTTATTTTGAGACCTTTGCTTAGGGCCTTGCTAAATTGCTTAAGCTGGCTTTGAACTTGTGATCCTCCTGCCTCAGCCTCCTGAGTTGCTGGGATTACAGGTGAGCATCACCATGCCTAATACAAGCTATTCTTATCTTAATATGAAGATATTGTCTGTATGCTATCACAACAATGGGGGGRAAACCTGCCAGCACCTTGCCAAGAATTAGAACACTGGCACCAAACTATACCAGCAGTCATTTTCTTCATTGTCATGCATTTTCAGTTAAAAAAAAAAAAGCAGTAAAACAGTTTTACTTAAGAATGACCCTGATAAGGCAGTGAAAAGTATTAATTTTATAAAAGCTAAACCCTCTTTTCATATTCTATGTGACAAAATGGTAATATGCATAAAGCATCTATTATGAACCAAAGTGCAATGATCATTTTAAGAAAAGCACTTGTATATTGTTTGAGATACATACTACAAACTTTTTCATAGAACAATATTTTTACTTGAAAGAAAGAATGACAGAAAACTGATGGTTAGTTAAATTTGGGGGAGGTGGCAGACATATTCTTTTAGAAAATAAAAAAATGATGAATAATATATTTCAATAATAAAACTCAAGCTTTCATGTTAAAATTAGAATTCTGTTGAACTTTTGATCTTAAAAGCTTCCCAATGATTCAAAACAGTTTTATGATGAGATGGAATATGACATTTTTTATATTGTACAATGAAATTTATCAATATTTTCCAAATGATTAATGCATGGTGTTATAAAAGCAAGGATGATTAAAAAGATCCACTTAAAAAAATAAGAAAGATAAATAGATTTTAATGCAACAGAGGAAAAACAAGTTCATTGATACAGTTTCAGATTTCAGARTGACCAACCTTTAAGAAACTACCACTGCCAAGTTTAAGTATATCAGAATTTGGTATAAAATTTAAAAACACCCACAACTATCCAAAAAGGCTGTTAAAATTTTCTTCCATTTTTCCAATCACATGTTTGTGTAAGGCCAGAGTTTCTTCATATATTTCAACCAAAAAATATAGCACAATTAATTGAATGTGAAAGCAAGCAAACGTAAGAATCTGGCTATCTTCTACTAAGCTAAATATTAAAAAGATTTGCAAAAATATAAGGTGATATAACTGACACTCATCTGATTATTWWTTTTTTTTTTTTTTGTTCTGTCAGCTGCACTGATGCCAACACCTGGAGCAGCACGGTAGCTCTAGAGACTATGCCAGTAGCTACGACACCCACAGATTTGACATTACGATCTCCAGCACATCAGCGGTGCCAGCAATATCATAGTACCTGGTGTGGCTATGAGTTTAGCAGCAACAGGAGATGGCACCTTTGTAACTACATTAGCACAGAAGATAATGGCATCACACAGCTGGTAGCAACATAGGAATCAGTGACCTGAATGGCAGATGTCACCACAGGGAAAATGGGGGCGGGGGGCATGAAATAACGCTTCTTGAAAACTAGAAGCACCAGTTTAGTAAGCATAGGAGACTATCCCCAAGAACTGCATTATTATTAAGGGTGAACAACTGCATTATTACTAAGGGTGAACTCGGGTACGATGGTAGATTCTTTAGTCCTGCAAAAACAGGTGACAACAAAAATAAGGAAAATGCTCTCTGTGACTATGCAGAAGCCTTACTTAAATCCTAGATTATTAAGGCCTGGAAAACATGGGTAGGTACTATACCTCTCCGCAAATCTATCCATTTGAAAGAAATCATGGTGTAGCAGCTCAGCACAGAAAGGCCTTTTGTCTGGGTCAACATGTAAGCATTTCTAAAAAATTAAGAACACAAATAATTCTTATCCAAGGAAAACTTCCTACATTTAAATTTCCAAACACACACAAAAAAAAAGAAAAAAGAAAAAACCTACTCATAGCCAATGAATTTTTTAACATCTTTAATTAAGGATGAAGAAAAAAGCACAAATCTATAAAATGATCATCAATGGTTGCTAATATCACTCACATACACACACACCATACATACACACATACACACACAGCACCATATATTCAGTAGCATTAGATGAAAATATACAAACTCCTAGGATGTAGTCTTGTCTAAAAAAATAACCTGATTCTGATCAAGCTATAGATTTACTATAGTTTATAAGAAATAAAGGACACAGGAACATGCTGAACCATATCATGGGGAAAGTTAATGGGACACACAACCTAGTTGCTTCAACAAATTGCAGGATTAAAACAAAAAAGAAAGAATAAAAGAAGCTTATAAATTGTCTTAAAAGACTTATCAACCAATCTATTGCAATTTATAACCTTCATTTGGATTCTAATTTAAACTATAAAAAATTATATAACAGTTAAAACTTTGGACAATGATTACATATTTTGTGATACTAAGGAATTATTGTGAATTTTTAAAAATTAGATCTACTGAGATTGGAGGGGGAAAAGACCTACTCTGTACTTCTTATTGTACTAGGTGCTTTACATAAATCATTTTATTTTAATGCAAGTTTCACTGTGATACATTGAAACCCCTCAATGTCAATAAAAATAAAAGGGTCTTAGTAAGTAGCTTTAAGTAAATAAGTTCTACAAATAATTATAAGCTTAATATATAACTGAAATAATATAATGTTGGGTATTTGTTTCAAAATACTCCAAGGAGGGAAAAAACGTTGAAGTTGAGTATGGATGGGTTAGCCATGATTATAAAAAGGTTGGTAATTGCTGAAACTAGATGAAAAGAATGTCTGGGTTTATTCTATGACTATTTTTTCTTTTCTATTTTTAAAATTTTCTATAATAAAACCTTTTAAAATTATATGATTCTACTTAAGGGATTTATGTTGGACAGTATTTTAACTTTTATTCCCTTTTAAATCTCTTTACAGACAGGTGATGAAGCTGGTCTCAATAACAAATGCTTAATCTATTAGATTAGGTAAAAAGTACAAACATACTATTCTAAAAACTTATTATYATTAGTTATGAGCTTACTAAACTTTTTTTTAATGAGTTAAAGGAAGCAAAAAGACATCCTGGGGAAATGGTCTAGGATCCTGGCACTTGGAGATAATTATTTTAACAATATTCTGAACAAGTCTAAGTAATGAGAATTATTTGAGCTAATAATTGTATACGGTCAACTTTTAGAAATAATTTGATACAGTGAAAATCTCCCTAATCTCTTCATCAATTAGATACAAGCAACAATAGTGGTTAGTTTCAGTAAATCCAGAATCTAAACAGAATAGGTCATGATCCTATGCTCTACACACTTTATTTTTTCCTAATTTTCTAACTRTATTTTTATTTTCTTATTCTACTTTTCTTCTAATTTCCACTTAAAATATAAAATTTTTATGTTTTTTTGATGAGAATGTTAACATTGCTATGAAAATGTCTGAAGACTTTTAAAAAAGCATGCTATATAACACTAATTGTTTTCTTAGTGAGTTTAAAACAGGTAACATTTTCAGGTTTTTATCTGAAGTTTCTAYACTAATACACACCAAAGTATTTAAATTCTTCCTTAATGTACAAAAACAAAAGATCATGAGCAAATTGTTGACCAAAAGATCAACTAGACAAAAGAGAGAACCAACTCTACGTAATACATACATTTCCTGTCAGAAAGTGAAAAGAAAAAATATGACTACCTTTGCTAAATCTATCACAACTTCAGAGAGCTTAGGATAGCGTCTTTCAAGAGGTTCTGTTTCCTTGATTTCAGGCAATCTTACTCCAGCAAACACAGGATTTTTATAAAACAACTCCTGATGTCTTGGAATTAAATTACCTAGAAGTGAAAACAGCACACATCTCTGTCATTATACATGAAATGGTGAAGGGACAACTTATGTGGAGGAGAGGAAATTGTGGAACACAGCTTCAGGAGTTTAGGACTCTCTCAGCATGCAAAATCAACCAAAAACAGAGCTGTTACTGTAATGACACATGGCAGTCTTTATAGTGGCTTTGACATAGTCAACTCAAGGAAGTAACATCACTATCTSAACTCATCATTTAGAAAAATTCACAAGCTGCTATAAATAGAACTGAAGTGTGAGAACACAGTTAAAGAATATTGTATAGCTTCCCAGATATAAGTACCAGCATTTTATTTCTAACAACAGAACATAATGGGTTGACCAAAACAACTAAAATATAGTCATGTAGACAGAATCTAATCTAAATAAATCAATTCCTCCCTTTATGAATTTAATTTTTAGTAAACTGATTTTACACCTGAATCTAAGGTCATATTTGAGCATTTCACTTTTCTCACAACTTTAATAMGTAAACATATATATTTATGTTTCCATAAGAAATTATTTATTGCTTATTGAATTTCTCATCTGGAAACGTAAAATCAAATAGTTACCAAGTGTTTCCCATTATTTTCATCTTCCAAGCTCTATCTCTGAACATTTATTGATACTTCAACAAATGAAAGACTCTTGATTGTCTAGCTCTGAAACTTTATCCAAAGTGCTAACAGCAAAAGTCAAAGATGGGACTGAGGTTATGGCTCAGCGGTAGAGCACTCGCCTCGCACATATGAGACACTGGGTTCAATCCTCAGCATTACATAAAAATAAGTGAAATAAAGATATTGTGTCTAACTACAACTAAAAAATAAATATTTTTAAAAGGTCAAAGATGAAGCAAGATTACCTTCAAAGTCTCTGTGTCTCTCATTTTGAGAATGAGGATATTGACTGTATTTCACCAAATGTTTACTGACCAGGGATGATAATTATTTGTATTCTCTCTACATGTGATTAACTGAATGTACAAGTGCAGAAAATGGACAACCTCTGCTCTTTTTCTTCTCTGTTGACAGGAGGGGGAGGTTAGCCTGATTAAGAACATGTGTCAGATAAACCAAAACCATACTGGGTCAGGGAGACTCACACACACACCTGCATATATGATATATGTTTTCCTATTTATGCCCTACCTTCACTTAGAATAGATACCCTCTTTAATATACAAACAACTTTAAAAACCAATACAAACACACAGGAAAAAAAAACTTCTAGAATTTAAGAATGCAAATGCATAATCTTACCTAAACACATCATAATATGATATAGCTGATCAATATCAGAATCTCCAGGAAATAGTGGTTCTCCCATGAACATTTCAGTTACTAGACAACCAATGGCCCACACATCAACAGCCCTGAAAGAAATGCAATGTGGTGTAAAATTTGGCATCCTAATATGTTTATTATATCTGAATCTATTCTGCATATTAATACTTTATATTCTGGACATTGAGAATAATAGTAATAAGCCTTAAACTATCCATAAAAAGACATTCATCTAAAGTTAAGACCTCTCTCAATTTTAATAAGTGAGATTTCCAGAAGCTTTGATCATGTGGCCTAAGAGGGAAAAAGCCTCTGAAAAGTGAAAACACTATTACCTGTACTTTGTTCTAATAAGGCTCTCAGGCTTCCATTCAGTCTATTCATTATTTGTTTACATGCAACTCTAATAAGGTCATTTCATTCTTTGTTTCATAGAAAAAAGAAAAACACAGCAGAAAAAGATGATTGCTAAAGACAAATGCAATAACAGCAGGTCCTGAAGGCTAACGGGGAGACATTTTTTTTAATCTTAAAAATTAGTCATAAAAACTTAAATAATATGTTAGTTTCATTTAACATAGGAACAACTATCTTGATGTTTCTTAAGGTCATTGCTGAATTAGAAAATGTTACAAAAAAATGCAGCATGGCTATAAAATGTGAAYTTAGAGCAATTAAGAAAATATTAAGGACATTTAATAAACTCTAAAAACCGAGAATAGTAGAAAATATTTTAGAAAGATTTCTATCAAAGCAGTAAAACTTATAATTCTCCCTTCTTTAAAGATTTGAAGACACTTGTGTTTTAAGAACATTTTGTTCAATTTATTTTTACTCCCACCCTTGTCTCATTGAGACACTACCTTGTCTCTTTCCAACAGTGTCAGACTTACCCAATTAATATTGGTCTCTTTACAAGTGATAAATATATATATTTCTGACCTATTACCAAAAGCASACCATTTATTTACAACTTAATTTCCCCACCTTTAAAATGAATAAACCCACTCCAATTTCACAGGAATTTTGCTTGTTTGCAGTGCTGGGGGTTGAACCCAGGGCTTAGGGCATGCTGCGGAAGGGCTCTTCCACTGAGCCACACCCCAACCCTCATGAGAATTTTTAAAGGAAATGTATCAAATGATTACAAATCATTTTATTAACTTCCCTCAACTCAAGCCTTCCTTTCAGTGTTAGAAGAATCATTTATTATATTGTAAAGATACTTTGTTTTATCAAGAAAAAAAAAGTTAAAATCGCTCCCTCTCAGTACTGATGTCTTACTTGCCGTACTTGACATCACCAACCAAGAGTTCTGGAGCTCTGTACCAGCGAGTTGCTACATAATCAGTATAAACCTCTCCTGGAGCAGCCAAAGTCCGTGCAAATCCAAAGTCACATAACTTGACGACACCAGACTGGGAGACTAAAATATTCTCTGGCTTTATATCTCTGTGTATGATCTAAAACAAAAAGAAGAGGACAAAATATGGTAAACAAAAATTAATTATTTAGGAGAGCACCTACCATGAGTGGGAAACTGATTTTTTATCCCTATAAAGAATAGAAAATAATGCATACAAATTGTTACTGACTTTTAGGAAACTGAGACCTGGCTGGGCAAGAAAAAACATTCATGCTTGAAGTTTTACTTAAATACTCAAACACAAAAAAATACATACATTATTAATCAACAAACCAACTGGCTAATAACTAATCTCAAAACTAAAAAAACTCTCATTGAAGACTAGGGGTGGTAAGAAAAATTTTTATGAAAGGGGCAGGTTCTATAGTAGGCCTTTAATACTGAGTATGATCTGGATAAATGTAGAAAAAAAAGAGCAATCCAAGTGAATGTAACAAGGAAAGCAATAAATAATAAGCCTTAAATTACCATAAAAGGACATTCCTCTAAAGTTAAGAGCTTTAACTCTCAGTTTAATAAGTGAGATTTTAATAAGTGAAATACAGAAACTGTAGTAAAATGTTTTGGTTCCCCCCCCCCCACTAAGCACAGGCCATCCTGGGAAGTTTGAGTTTGTGTCAATGTCCTGGGGACCCATGGAAGTGAGGTGACCAATATATTGTTTAAAGGTGATGCCTGTGATAAACAACTAAATCAGAGAGAACCACTAGAAGGAGAGAGAAGAGAAAAGGGACAAATATGAGGTGATAAAGGCCTAAATGAGGCTGGTGCTCAGAAGAATACAAAGGAGAATATATAATTTAGAAATACCTTAAAATCAAGAATCAATAGAATTTAGGAGCAATCTCAGATGTTTTATTTAAATCTGAGAATCTGCAATGGTAGTTCCATTACCGAAAGTAGAAATATCTATAAATTTTAATGGAATGATTAGCTTACTTTTAGCCATATGAACTTTGGATGGAATGCTGAACACCCAAGTAGAGACATTCATTTGACAATTAGAAATAGAAAGAGGGTAAAACAAGATCAATGATTAAGATTTCCTGGGAGGAAAAACAGGAAAGTAGGATAGAGAATATTAATTCGACAGCTAAGCAAAACAAAGTATTAGGCTTAATCCTTTTAATGTAAGTAAACTATATTTTGGAATTTAAAAAATGGGTGTGTGTGTGTGTGTGTGTGTGTGTTTGTTTTAGACCCCTTCAAAAGATCAGGATCCAAAATGGCAATATGTCATTTTTAAACATTTTGCATAAGCTAGAAACTTTTATTACCCTAGGTATCAGTGTAAGGACACAGGACCAGTTCCAAATCAACTGTACTATACAGCACAAAAAGCTGAACTAGGAGTTGGGAGACTTCGGCACTAGTCTCAGGTTTTCATTAAAGCCATAGACAACTCAATCTTTCTGAGTTCCCCTCCTCATACTCCAAATGAGAGGGCCAAAGTGCATGATTGTTATGTTCCCACCCAATTCTCATAGTCTATGACTTATGGTAACAACAATAAAACCCAAGCATAACCAAGATAACAGAAGTAGAATTTTTACTAAAAGCTATCATTGCAATCTGGGATGACCAGGCTCTGATATGGGTCCTTAATACCATGTATGATGTAAATAAATTAATAAATTTCAGCAAAAACTTTGTTTAGGGGTCTATAAACACTTCATAATGCCTTATGCTATATGGGTCCAACTTAACATCAAGGTTGATAGCAATCTTAAATTTGTTGTTAAATACATTTACTCAGCCTGGCTTACAAAGTATTAAAATGATATTTTTAATTTTTTAAATTCAACTGTTCACATATATGGATGTAGACTCATATGAATACCATATTTAAGAATAAATGTCTTAAAGGACTGGGGCTGTAGCTCAGTGGCAGAGTGCTTGCCTAGCATGTGTAAGGCACTAGGTTCTATCCTTAGCATCACATAAAAATAAACAAATAAAATAAAGGCATTCTGTCCATCTACAAATACAAAAATAAAAATTTAATGTTTAAAAAAAGCTGAAAAAAAGAAGAAATGCCTTTAGAAAAAGATACTAATGATATGCTAATGAGAAAATAACATTACCTATCTGCTTTAAATATGCTATTTGGAAATATAAAGGGGCAAATGCATAGAGAGTGCATGGATTTATAGATACTACTTGAACCATAAAATAAAACTTACAGATCTTGTGTATTACATGGGGAAGGGATCAAGTGCTTGATACATATTCTTTCCTTGATCCTCTTGTTAAAACACTGACTGATTTTTTGAAAAATTAGGCTTTATTCTAAGTTGCCTTTCTTTTAACTGGGTAATAAAATTTGATTTTTTTCCATTAAAAAACGGACAAATGTTTTCATCCTTGAGTGAACATGTATGTACATGTTTCTTTATCCCCTTCTCCCTCTCCCATCATAATTATTTGTCTCCTTTAACAGCAAAGGCGGCAACTCCCCAGAAAACAAGATCGAATGAGAGCTAATACTTGATCATTTATGTGTCAGAAACTATTCTTAGTATTTTACATATTGTAACTTATTTTATTCACTCAACAATCCTGAGAGTATTATTATTATTATTATTATTATTATTATTATTATTATAGTTGTAGATGGACACAATACCTTTATTTTATTTGTTTTTTTTTTTTTTTTTTTTTAGTTTTATGTGTTGCAGGGGATTGATTCCAGTGCCTCATGCATTCTAGGCAAGCGCTCTACCCCTGAGCCACAACCCCAGTCCCAGTGCTATTATTATTATTTCCACTTAACAGGGGGTTAGGAATGAGGATTGTGAAAGAGGTCCAGGAGGTTTGAGAGGAAAAAGGATATGAAATTATAATTTGAGAAGAGTTTGAGAGTAAATGAACTAGGAAAAAAAAAGTCTGACTACCAGGCAATACTAAATATCCCTTGATGTTAACTAGTCATAAATTAGAGATATGACTAGATAAATTAAGAGTCATAAAAGATATATGGATGCTCTGAAGTTTATGCATGGGACCAAATGGATAGTAAAACCTCCTGCCTTAAAGACAGAATGGCTCTCAAGCCAGCAACACTTTACTATACACTCCCTGAATGTGAATATAAAGGTAGGCAATGTTACTAAACATGGGTTGATTAGTCATGAAAATATAAAAAAATGAAGGCACACAGAGGCAAACTTAGGCAGAACATTCAAACACGCTTCAAAAGAGAGAAAGCCAATGATAGTTTTGTGTATGGTTCCTCTGACAAATCCACCCTCAGTGTAGGGAATACAACTAGCTTCCTTTAAGTACTTAGGCCCATTGGGAAGATACTATTCTTTTTATGAGAAGGATTAATCAGTGTCTTTTAACTTGATGCCATGAATTACTTGATTTATTGATTCCTAATATTGGTCCAAATGCCTGTACACTGATTATTATTATTATTATTATTATTATTAAAATTCATATGTTCTTGAAACAATTATTTCTCTAACTTAACTAAACTGACAGTCTCCTGAGCTTGGTTGATATAAGTCTAGTCTAAGAGATAGAAATAGTCTCTAAATTCGGTTACTCTCAAAATCAATTTTCTGAGACTGAATCATTCCAAAGTTGCCAAGAGCAGGCTTCCTAAGAAAAGCTAGACAATGTGTTGCCTGGTAGAAATTATATCTCTACCTTTATTGAGGAATTATCCTAAAATATATATATATATGTGTGTGTGTGTGTATGTGTGTATATACATATACATATACACACACATATATATATATATGTATATTGTGTATATACACATATACATACATATATACATAGGTATATAAGTATATGTTAATTATATTAGTGTTATATTATTCATTATATTAATATATACATAATAGCATGTAATTATTCTAATATATGTAGAGATGAACTATTCATTATAATTCAAATACATAATACAACTACACAATAAGATAGTTAAAAATAAAGATAATAATAAGAAAACTAAAAAATTCAAATGCTGAAGTGATAGTACATAATTTTTTCTTCTATTAATGATTATCTTTAAATTTTCAAATTTCCTACCATTAGCATTCATTACTTTTATAATCAAACATAAATTTCATTTAAAGTACTTTATAAAACTGGCATACTATGTGTATAGTTATTCATTTTATACCCTGTGTCAATTTTCCTGGAGGTTATTTTATTTGGCACTCAAAAGGACAAAAGATTATTGCAATAAGGTAAGAATAGAGATATTTATACTTTCATATTTCATAACTAGTCAAGAGAACCTGAATTAACAAATACATAGAGCCTTAGTGTATGCATGTGTCAAAACTCCTTATGGAAATTAGTGAATTTCACTCAGTAAATCTTGCCCTAAAAAAAGAGCAAATATTTAAATCTAGTTAGTGATATAAAGTACTTAGTGTTGAAGAAGTATACTAATTCTGCAACTTACTTTCAAACGTATAAATAATATAGCTTAATATATTAATGAATGAATAAATATGTGAAAAAGTAAATACTGCAAAATGTTAATAAATGCAGAGTCTAGATAGTGGAAACATGGGTGTTCATCCTACAGCCTTTCAACTTCCCAGTGTGACCTAAGTTTTTTACAATAAAAAAAAGTTGGAAGAAAAGAATGTGTTATGGACACATGAAAATTGACAATATCAAAGTAATATAGATCCTTTCAATTATTTTACTGGTTCCAACTTTAGTTTAAACAAATGCCTCACTAAATTAAGCGACTAGTATCTGGATAGTCAAGGATTTGAAAAATAAAATTACTTAATCATAATACTTACATTGTGACTGTGACAAAATCCAATTCCATTAATAATCTGAAACAAATATTTTTGAACTACTTGGTAGTCTAATCCTTTTGGAAAGAGTTCCAAGTCATCAAGAATTGTGTGGTCAACAAATTCAAAGACGAGGTACCATCTTTTTTTTTTCTTACACACTTCCAACAGATTCACCAAATTTTCATGCCTCAATTGCTATTATTAAAAAAATGCAAAATAGTTTTATAAGTTTAAATTATTAGCAATTAGCCACAATCTAAAACAGATCTCAGCATATGAATAGAATGCATAAAATACATAAACAATGCATATTATAAAAGTATATTCTAGTTTTAAAGTTACAGCTCCTTTCTTCTCTCAGAGAACACAATAAAACCAATAAAAAGAAGAAATGTAACTCCATCTTTTTGAAAGTAAGATGGATCTATGACCCCACCCCCATCTACAATGAATGAGGTTTGATTACCACAAGTACTCAAGGTCAAACAGGAGTATAAGGATACACCAAAGGATTATCTGCAGCTACAAGGTTAACAAAGCCAGAGTTTTCCAAAGTTAGAACATACCTTCAGGAGAAAAGGACCAAAACTGAAAATATCCTTCTTTGGTATAATGTTGATAAGTTTTGTGGGTATCACTGAAAGCATCACTAAAACTGAATAGCACCAGTGAATACCACCAATGAATGGAAGGRGAAGGAGGGTTGAATAATTAATCACACAAAAATATATTTGCTGGAAATAAATGGTTAGACTAGAAAGCAAAACAATTCATTATGAATAAAACTAAAATTACAAATTTCAGAGAAATTAGGGCTAACAGCATTGAATTCCACACCAGGCCTATATCTTAAGGAACATCATTGTAAACCATGACATATTCTACTAGCCTAGAACAAAATCATGTCCAAGAAACAAAGAAGAACCAATTCAAGATCTATTCAAAGATACTGTAAAAGAGAGAAACACTAATTACAGATTAAGTGGCTACTCTTAAAATTATAGCTTTCAAAATCCTCAAGGAAAGAAAGTGTAATCCAGGACCATAATACCCAAACAATGTGTCATTTAAGTAACAAACAATGGAGAAAATTTTTGAACATGAGCAGTGAATGCATTTAGTGCAGGACAAAATATTATGCAAATTTGAGCATCATAGTTATAAAATAGAAAGTATTTTAAACTCAACAATATACAATATTACTAATAATAATAGTAAATGGAAAAAATAAAAATAAGATGTATGTGCATTGATTTTTCTTGTCAACTGGTCAAATGATAACTTTTGACCTGAAAATTTCAATTATAATTATAGCCACAGATTTAGTGATAAACACTAAGATAAATAAGGAATCTTCTAATATAAGTGATAGATGTGTGGGAGAGACAAGGAAACAGAAACATAACAATTACTTTACAATGGAGTATGTGTATTATAGACTACTATAATTATAAATGTAATCAATTGTACAAAACTAAAACCCTTCCCAATTACCAAAGAAAACAGCCAATGTAAATAAGGAATTCAGAGACCATATAGAAAAGTACTTGTAAGGAATAATAAAATAGTGTGACATTATAAATAATCACTAATACTTACATAGTGCTTACTATGTTCTAGGCACTATTCTGAGCCCAAAAACTCTATGAAATAGGTACAATTATCTTGTTTTATAGATGAAGAAGCTAAAGCAGAAAAAATTAAGGAAGCTCCAAGGTCACACAGCAATAACTGGTAGAGGCAGGATTGGAACCCAGGAATTGTGACTTCTGTCGTCTCTTGAAAACATTTCATTTTTGGTCATTTCCTCCTCTGTGTTCAGAACATTCGCACTATAAACTCACTCGGGCCCACAGTTGGTTTGTATGCCATAAATTTAGATTTCTTATTCTTAACCACTAAGCTATTACAATTCTATAGGGGGGGAATGGAAACAAAACCAAATATATCTGTTATATTAGAATATATTTTATTTTAATAGGTAAAATTAGTCTAACTGGGTCACAAAGAACATTCCAGATTACTGGTTAAATGAATTAAGGTATATCTATATGATGAAATAAAACACATCAATTAAAAAGAATGAGGCAGATTTATGTCTACTGATGTACAATATACTAAGCAGAAGAAGGTAAGATGCAGGTCAGTGGGCAAAGTCTGCTCCCATTTGATATATGCACATATACTGCCCCATACAAATCCATATGATTGTATGGGAACAGAATCCCTCTGATCACTGTATAACATAGCACTGGTTTGTTATGGAAAATACAACTAAATGACTGGTACACATGGGTGGCAGGGTAATTCATTTAAATTTTATAGCATATGCAAGTATTATATAACAAAAATTTAAATCAGAAAAAATATGTATCAGTGAAAGTACATACACATATACTCTAGTAAACTTAAATTTTAAAAGATATATACTATAAAAATTAACTTGGAGACTAGAAAAAGAAGCTTGAAGTCTATCAAGCTAGTTAGGAGGAACCACGTTGGTCAAGGTCACATCTACTTAAAAAGCTTGAACTACCTCCACCAATGTATTATTGCCATCAATTCTCAACACAATGACCATCCTGCATAATATCTAAACTATGTTTCTAAAAATTGCTTCTCTGTGTTATGCCCTCTGGATTCAAAGTCCCTGGCAGAATATTCCACTGGTCAGCTTAGATCACAGGCTACAAGAAGATGGGATAAGGGGGAGATCTCTGCATTCAGGCTGTGTCATGGGAAGCAAGACACTGCACCTTACCACGACTACACACAATGAGAAACTGCAATCATAGGGTAGGGAATTGGAATGTTTTGCTTTTTCTATAGAGATGAAAAAAGTGACAAGTGTTCATTTCATATTACAACTGAAAATGCAGTAATTTTGTCATTCATTAGGGTTCTTACACTCTTGTATGCCTAAAACACTCTTCCCAGATCTTTACATGTCTGACTCCTTGCTGCTATCTAGGTCCCAGCTTCATGTCACCTCTTCAGTCACTCTTGAGCACCTTACTCCGTCTTATTATCATCATAGCACTATATACTATAATATTATCCCCATCTGATAGCTCACTATAGTAAAACCCTATCTGGTATTTTCCTTTATTATTATTATTTTGTAGCARGGATTGAGCCCAGGGACACTTAATCCCCAGCACTTTTTATGTTTTATTTTGAGACAGGGTAATCAATGAAGATGCTTTTCAAAGAGTTAAAGAAGCATGTTTCAGCTAGGAKAGATGAAGTTTCAATTTGATTATTATCACAAAACTATTTTCTATTATTGATGATATTAACTCATTCCCATTGAAAATAAGAAAAAGCTAAATAAGATTTAATTATAATCAATAAGCAATCATGGCATTTCATTTTCCATAGTGTTTTCTCATAAACAGAAAGTGCACTGAGATGGTCTCAAAATGCATATCTAAAGACAAATCTATTTAAAACTCTTAGCAGGCTGGGTATGGTGGCACACACCTGTGATCCCTGGGAGGCTGAGGCAGGAGGACTACAAGTTCAAGGCCAGCCTCCGCAACTTATTGAGGCCCTAAGCAACTAAACAAGACCCTGTCTCAAAGTTTTTTTAAAAGGGGCAGGAGGGGAGGGCTGGGGATGTAGATTAGTGGTAAAGAGCCCCTGGGTTCAATCCCCAGTACAAAAAAAAAAAAAATCTCCTAGCAGATTAGAGGCTTTAAGTAAGGTTTTGGAATTGACTTATTTTTAGAGATAATAAGTAATGCATCTTATTTTTTCTCTAAGAAATATTAAAGTAGTTGTCCACTTCATGAGTTAAGAGTGTAAAATTTTAAACATCTTTATTAAAAAAGCTTACCATGAAATGTGAAACTATAGAGAAAGCTACTCATAATAAGACATACAGTTCATTGATAAAACAAAACACCTTTATTTCACAAATCTTGTATTCAAATAGAACTAAAATTTCTAATAAATTCTGTTTAAAAAATTAAATGATAATAAAATAAAGCTGTTCAATCATGATTGCATTGGCATATTTCTAGTAGAATAATACATTATACTTAAATATTCTACTTTTTATCAAAAATTCAGACTACATAAGATAATCTCTCTTTCCCTATTAAATGTAAAGTCCTTCCTGTCAAGATTGCTATAGCAGCCCCAAACCTGCAATCATTATGAAAACACAAACTATAGTCCACAGGTTATCTTTATGTTAATATTTTAAAAATAAAATGACCAGCCGACGATGTGACTCAGTGATAGAGTCTTGCCTAATGTGTAGGGCTCTGGGTTAGATACCTAGTGTCACAAAAAAGTAAAATAAAATAATAAACAAATAAAAGTAGACCACGACCTCTTTTGGTAGTGGCAGACTAAGTAACTCAGACCAATACTCTAAATGAGAATTCTTAAAAATCTGGGTAAAATTTTTCTAATTTTCTGAAACATAAAAGGCTAAGAAGATAGTTAGGATTATTGGGCCAAAATCAGGAACAGAAAAGTGCAGAACTCAAAGCTGATTTTGCCAGGAAGTATCAGATATGGAACTGAATTTTTATTTTTGTGCCCTATACAATTAATAAGCAAAAGTTAAAGCCCAAAAGCTGTAAAGGCAGGACCCCCCCAAAAAACTACCTCCAATTTAAGCTGGTCTCCTAAAACTTACACCCTCCAAAGTAAACATAGGTAGAAACCAATCAGGCATCACTAGACTTCACATCACCTATAATGGTTGAAGGAACCTCAAACCTTGAATTTGGGGTCTGGGGATATGGCTCAGTGATAGAGCACTTGCCTAGTGCGTGGGAGGTGCTGGGTTTGATCCTCAGCAACACATAAAAATTAATAAATAAAATAAAGGTATTGTGTCCATGTACAACTAAAATAATTAAAACAACAACAACAACAAAAAAAACTTGAATTTGGATTATTTTGTAAGGGACTGGGAGCTCCCACTGTGTACTTCACAGAAATCACTATCAGATAAATAAAAATAATCTCTGGAGGCAGATAATTTTACCTTAGCCTCAAAATATTTCTATAAATATCATTTCAAAAATGAGATTCAAAGCAAAAAGATAATGAGAACCACAAGAAAGCAAGAAACAATTAACGAGAACTTTGAACTTGTTGAGTAGATCCTGGACCGGTAATTGTTGGTATTATATAGAAACCAGAAGGGTGAAAATTTTTTTTAAATTTTTTTTTTT